TATACATATATATATATGTATACATATATATATATGTATACATATATATATATGTATACATATATATATATATATATATATATATATATATATATACATGTATATATATTGTGATGTTCATAGATCTATGCAATGGGAATCAGATCATGATAAGATCACAATAATAAAACTGACTCACCTTTAAACACATACCCTAAATAATCCTGATCATAGGTTACTCGAGAAAGACATCGAGATAACCGAAAAAGACTTATGTACTGTATACTCATCCATATGATGGAGGCAACTAGTCTCATTGTTGCTCGTTTAGGGATTCTAGTGATACAATGCAAGTGCTCATTATAGAATAAGTTCAATGATTGATCTGCTTACGGAATGTTGGATGGTTGATGATGTATTATTGCCACATAACAATTTCGTAGTCCTAGTAGTGTATCTGGTCCTTAGACTTGAGACACCAAGGATGTCCTGTATGAGTACTATACTTTTTGATACCAGACTTATAGGTCAAGAAGTTCCAAATCTAGCATGACTGGTTATCGGGAGTGGTAGCCAACCTTACGAGGGCTATTGAGTATTGATAGATGATCATCCGCTCTTGATGTCATGAGAGGAATATCTCATATGTTCTTGCTCAGACAAATCCCTAGCTAGGGTCATTCGGATTGAGAGAGAAAGAGTTCTCCGGGAGAATCCGATTAGAGCGAGATTTAAATAGAACCGTATGAGTCTAACAACACTATGCCCAGTATATAGTCTCTAGGATATTAGACGGATAAAGGAATATAGGTTCATGGTAATTGAGGATAGATAGATTCAAATAATTGGATTCCCTTGTATCATCTGGGGACTGCGGCGTAATGGCCTAGTACGTCCGCAATCGATAAATCGAGTGAATTATTATGAAGATAATAATTCACTGAGCCGAGAGTTCTGACAGGTATGACTGATGACCAACTCGATATTGGGCCTAGAGGGTCATTCACATATAGTAGGCATTACGATGAATAGAGGTTCAGATATGAGATATCAGTCGGAGCCTCTATCTTATTGGATATCTAATAAGCTCTTAAATTATTGGATCTAATAGATGAGATCCAATAAGAGCCAATGAGAGATTATTGGATAGAGATCCAGTAATCTAAGTGACTTGGATAGTTGGATGAAGATCTAACACCCAATAGGGCAGGATTCATTAGGATTAAGTTGACAAGAGACCTCTATAAATAGGAGAGAACTAAAGACCCATATGCTAGAGGTTTCTTGGTTACGACCTTCTATTCTCCTCTCCTCTTCTCCTCCTCAGATAGCAGGTGTGGAGATTTAGGCAGCGATTCGAGGAGCATTGTCGCAGCCCTACTATGTGGATCACCGCTAGAGAGGAGGACACTTAACCTTCTTCATCCTCTCGTACATATATGTTGGGATTCAAGGATATACGATCTTCCTAAGTAACATAACTATCTCACATGTAGTTTTTAGTTTCACGAATTTTGCACATCAATTTTTGCACGACGATAAACACTTTTTTTAAGGAAATTTGAGGTTTTTTATTTTCTGTTCTTCCGCTGCGCATGTGATGTCACCCCTAGATTTCCCTACAAAGCCAAATGCACCCAAGTTGAGTGAGTCGGGAACACCCAACCTACACCAAGATAAATCTGCTATAGCAAAGGTGTAAAGCTAAATCCGCTTGAGGCATGTGAATCAAAAAAGCTTAACCCATGCAGGTAGATCCGCCCTGATGGAGGCCCTAGATCGATCGTGCCTAAGGCATAAGGATCAAAAAGGTCCAACCTATACCGAGGATAGAAGAACGACTTTTAGAACCATGCTCTGGATCTCTCATATTAGAGTCCTGGAGCATACATTCATAACGGGACAAATAATAGGAAATATTTTGACAACCAGTCTCTATCTTCCAATCAATCACCCCAAGGGTGCTGACATAAAAGAAGAGGGCTAACTCACCCTCCACTAGGCGATAACGTGAGGGTTGTTATAGCATGTCAACCCCCATAGACAATAATTCATGAGAGGTCATTC